TTTAGGGTTTAGGGTTTAGCCACCCACACACAGACAGCGAAAAGACGGCAAACTTCATGGCGCGCCCCCTGGCCGGTATGCTTCTTTGGCGGAATTCTGCCTGTGATTCTGGTCAGTTTCGGCTTCAGAAATCACAAAAGCATTCCTGGGTCCGAGGTCATAAGCTGTTGTACCGCTGTGTCGAGTTTAGGATTCAGGGTCAAGGGCTCCAGCTGTTCATTGTTAGAGTGCGGGAACCCTGTTATTCATGCAATATGGGGGCCTTAATAATTGGAATAGGGCTTTGGGGGTTGATTGTAGACCATTATTAATTCTGATAAGGAACCCACAACTTACTTCCCCAATAAGCCAAGGAAATCCAAGGTTAAACTTTACTACTACGCTATAAGAACCCAAAAAAAGTTTAAAGGTTGGGTATTGGAGAACTAAGGCAAAACCCTATTCTAATTCTTTTGGCTTCTATATTAGGGCTCTTAACAAAGGCTCTAGGGCCAGGGAAACACCGAGTCCCCAGCATGATGTCGATGTCCTTCGCCTGATCCCCTTCATACATCTCCTCTTCAACACAACAGAACGGTTTAGGGTGTAGGGTTTAGGGTTTAGGGTTTCAGACATGGGTAGTTCTCTGAATTAGGGTCCCGTTTTATAAGGGTGCCGTACTATAGTGGGGGCCTAACAAGGGACCCTAATTTAGACAACTACCCACATGGCCTAGGGATTCACATAGAGGTCGTCCCCTTTATGAGTGCACCATTGGAAACTACGACACTTTAACATCAACCCTGAATAGTGGGAACCTCAGATGAAACATGCGGAGTGAAGTACATGTTGGGTACTAGGGGCCTTAACCGAAACAATAGGTTTTTGCGTATACTACACGATAGTTACAATTAGGAACCCCGAAATAGTATATTGGTAATGGGAATTTCCTTCGCAATCATTTAGGCTCCTGCCTGCCCTACCCTGCCCAGAACGAATGAGCTGGAAAAGCCTAAATGTGCCCTACACCTCTAAAACCTTAAACCCTAAAGCCCTACAAACCCGAAAACGCAAGAACCCTAAAGGATCTGAGCTCGAAAGCAGCCCGCTTGACGTAACAGCACATGCTTGGTCCTCAGCCCCAACCCTAATCGCGTAAGGGTTTTAGGCTTTATAGGGCATTGGGATTTAGGGGTTTAGGGTTTAGGGTTTAGGGGGATTTAGGGTTATAGGGTTTAGGGGTAAAGCTTACAGCATCAGCCCAAATCCCAGATCTCTGTGCCCCCAACCCGTTACCTCCAAACTAACAGATACTAACAGCATGCTTGCTGCCCTCAACCCTAAACCCTAAACCCTGAACCCTAAATTCTAAACCCGACATCCAAAACCCTGAACCCTAAATACTAAACCCTCCATCCAAAACCCCGAACCCTAAACCCTGAACCCTAAATACTAAACCCTACATCCTAACCTTGAACCCTGAATCCGATCCCGTAACCGCAACGGTTCAAGAACCCCGAAGGCCCAACAGAAGCTCGGTCCGACGTCACGGACTGCTCTGGGTCATAGAAAGACCGATCTTCGTTGCAAGGCGATACCTGCTTTAGGGTTCAGGGTTTAGGGTTTAGGGTCAAGGGTCAAACCCTACACCTTAAACCCCAAACCCTGAAACCTAAACCCCAAACCCTAAACCCTAAGCCTAGAAAAACGGGGCAGGGCGATACCTGCTTGGGGCGTAGGCCTCTTGCATTTGAGTGTAGGGCTCCATGTAGCGATTCCGTTTAGGGTTCCTTTGAGGGTTCTATAACAAGGAATTCCTGGGACTGTAGCGGTCGATTGGGCTTCTTATACTAGATGGTTATAAGCTATAACCGCAGGCAATAGGGTGATACTACATTCGAGGGTCTGTATAGTAGAAGCGACAAAGTTGGAACATTTTTGTCCTCATGCCATTGAGGCAAAGTATAAGGGATCCTAGCACAATCCTCCTAAACCCCAAACCCTAAACCCTAAACCCTAAACCCTAAACCCTAAACCCTAAACCCTAAACCCTAAACTCCTAAACCCATGTTCCAACTTTCTCGGGTTCGCTGTAGGGAGGTTTAGGGAGTTTGGAGACTTGAAGGGGCCTCCTTTTCTCGATTTAGGGTTTAGGGTTAAGGGTTTAGGGTTTAGGGCTAAGGGTTTGCACTTTTAGCCACCGCTAAACCCTAAGTCGTGAACCCTAAACCTACTGGAAGATCGACTTGCCGTCGATGCGGTTTTCAGCCGAATGAAGGGGTTTTGGGTTTAGGGTTTAGGGGTTTAGGGTTTAGCGTTTAGGGTTTAGGCTTTAGGGTTAGCAACAACAACGGAACCTTCCTACACCCTAAAGCCAAAATCTGCGTAGAAGCCAGCAGATCCCATAAAGGATACCCTTGAAGGTAACTGTTGAATAAACACGAAACTAGGCCATATAATGTAGAGGCATTAATAATTACCTATACTGTTTTGGGGGTTCCTTATTATACTTACAGTATAGTGGGCCCCAAACACCTATTCTAGTTATTCAAGGCCCCTAAACCCCAAACCCTCATAGTAGTCCAACCCTAAACCCTAAACCCTAAACCCTAAACCCTAAACCCTAAACCCTAAACCCTAAACCCTAAAAGGAACCCTTTAAAGGAAGCCCCCAACACACCTTTAGACCGGAACCAAAACCCACATAGCAGCTCGGGCCACTGCCTCAGACCCTGGGTTTAGGGTTTAGGGGTTTAGGGGTTTAGGGTTTAGGGTTTAGGGTTTAGGGTTTAGGGTTTAGGGTTTAGGGTTTAGGGGTTTAGGGTTTAGGGTTTCGGGTTTAGGGTTTAAGTTGTGACTCTTGTCAGTTTAGGGTTGATGAGGCTTAAGGTAGGGTTTTGTCTTCTTTTAGGTTTAGGGTTTAGAGGTTACGGGTTGAAGAGGGTTTGGGGTTTAGGGTTTTTCTTCAAGTTTAGGGTTTAGAGGTTACGGGTTGAAGAGGTTTAAGGTTTCTGGTTTAGAAGTTCAGGGTTGAAGAAGCTTAGGGTTTAGAAGTTTAGGGTTTAGAGGTTAAGGGCTGAAGAGGTTTAGGGTTTAGAGGTTAAGGGTTGAAGAGGTTAAGGGTTTAGGGTTTAGAGGTTAAGGGTTGAAGAGGTTTAGGGTTAAGGGTTTAGAGGCTAAGGGTTGAAGAGGTTAAGGGTTTAGGGTTTAGAGGTTAAGGGTTGAAGCCCTAAACCCTGAACCCCGGTCTAAGATTTAGGTGTTTGGGGCTTCAGCAAGATTTGGGAGTTTCCGACAATTAGGGTACCTTATGCTGGTGTCCTTACAACAAGGATCCTACTAGGAAGGGTACTATATTAGAGTCACGTTCGCGACTTCCCCTGTTAAGGCAGTGAACCCGAGCCTTAAGCCTTAAACCCTGAGCCTCCAAAGTGCAAGTTTCGCATGAAACTGACACCTTTTGGGCACAGTGGATAAAGAGCTTGCACTTGTCTTGAAGCACTTTGGACAGCTAAATTCCTCCAAAGCTTCAGCTGCTACCTCCTCCTGTAAGGAGCTTGCACTGGTCTTGCTCAGAGAGCATCCATATAGGCTCTGGTTTGAACCCTCTTCAAACACTCTTGGCAAGCTTGCTAGACATTGGCGATAAACAGCACAGGGCTCTTTAATGCATCGAACATTTCTAGAGTTCTTAAAGTACCTTCCAGAGCTCTTCGACAGCCTTTCACCCTAAACACCTAAACCCTAAACCCGAAACACTGAACCCTGAACCCTGAACCCCTGAACCCCGAACCCTAAACCCTAAACCCCTAAACCCTGAACCCTAAACCCCTAAACCCTAAACCCTGGACCCCTCCCCTTGAAAAGGCTCAAACTAACCCGCCGTCACCCGAAGGGCCTTGCACAAGACGGAGGCCACCCAAAGGTTGGTACTGCCGGTGTCGAAGACCACGTGTGCCTTAGGCCGAGAGTTCGGTTTAGGGTTTAGGGGTTAGGGTTTGGGGTTTAGCGTTTGGGGTTTAGGGTTTGGGGTTTAGGGTTCAGGGTTTTTCGTGTTTTTGGGCTTGGGGAAACTATTGTCACAGGAGTTTAAGCTTTTGGGGATTTTGGGCTATTGAGTTTGGGTCATACTTTGGTTTTCGGGCTTCGTGGCACCAGCCTGAATTTGGCCTAAATTCCGCGAGGATTTCACAAACACTGCGAATGATAGCAAAATGTCAGAAGACCACCGCGGAAACTTACAGCAACCGGCAAAAAGCACCCCAACCCTAAGCCCCTAAACACCTGAACCCCCGAGTACCTGTCAAAAACCCTTGAAGGAGTACTGGAAATCGCTAAGAAAACCGCCTATGCCCGAAGTCCCTGAAGGAAAATACCCAGGCAAAGCCCGGGAGCTTTGCTAATTAGAGAAGGCTGGTGCAGAGTAATCAAAGCAACATGGCAACTATACTGGGCTTTGAAATAACCAGGGAGAAAAAGTATAGACTCTTATTTCATAATCGTTCCTTGAAGGAACAGATCCCCCAAAAGTATTAAAGTATGGTATTCCAAAGCCCAGTATTTCAAGAAAGCTTGAAAGGAAAACTGTTCTAAATTCTGGTCATGCCCCACACCCAAGTCACAAAGCCCAAGCCAAAAGCCTAAGCTAAACCCAAGACCCAAGACTCCCACTATAGGGGCCTTAATGATTACCTATACTGTTTTTTTGGGGGCTCCTTATTATAATTGTCGCATAATATGCAACAAAAAACCGCAAGTTTAATTATGAAGGCCCCTAAACCCTAAACCCTTATCGCCGCCCTTATAGAACCCTTTAAGGAAGCCTTTAAA